CAAGACATGAGAAGTCTGTATTACAACCAAATGGTTATTAAAACCAATTCGGAACAAGATTCGTTCCGCATTGTGACAACATGAAAGCTATTCACAGGTCACTACCAAACACGGAGCTTTGACAAACTGTATTTGTCAACAAGAAAATCCCTCCTCCTCACCTCCCCACGAGTATTCTTCATTTCCCTCACTTGTACCCTCACTTTTAATATTAAAGCTAATTATTTCTTAACTTTTTTCACTCAAGGCTTACCAAGCAATACAAAATTATTAAAGGCATATATTTACTGCTAATGAATGTCATACTTATTACCAAATATCACATTAACAGTTTTAACAAAAGTAAAAATTTCATCCTAATTACAAAACTTACAACAGATTGTTTTTTAGAATCATAAAATCATATGAAAACTTCGGGAATTAAAACATTTCAATAGCATACAAGAACATACACAAAAATATTTTTAAAAGTAGGAACAAAAATCCCTTTTTACTTCATCTTTTTATAAGGGCAAACTTTTGAAAAAGTTTAACTGTTCAATATAAATCTTACAGCAAAAATACTTGGACATTATCTTATCCATTACAAGACATTTCTACAGTAGTAAATACATGGTAGCTTATAGTCTTTGATAAAGCTGATGGAGCTAAAGGTAAAAAAGGCACAAAATCTCTCCAGAATAATCTTCAGGAGTAATGAAATTTATCTATCCATGATCAGGATAAAAATTACAAAATTATCACACTGACAAGCATCACTTCCCACACTGCCAGCAGCACCAGCTAGTACTTCCCTTTTGTCTGCTCCACTTATAAGTAGCATAACTTCTTCTCATCTTTCCACATGGTCTTTCTCTACCTTTGCAACTTCCTCCAAGCTCAAAGAGATCCATTTCTTACCCCTACTACAGGTTACAAGAATGACACAAACTATTTTTAAAAATTATCTATTTTCTCTTCCATAAGCAAAGCTGGTCTTTGCTGGAGAATTACAGTTAAATTCCCAATCACTTCATCGTGGTATTACAAACGCATCCTCTGAATTACTGTTGCTTCAAATACACACACTTAGGTCTGTAGCAAATATAAGACAGCCTGACTTACCTTAGCCCACAATGAATTTGAACTACAGGCTATTTGTGTAGCCTAGCCTACTACTGGACCTCTCTCACGGTAAACAAACCAGACATAACATAGTAAGGATTAACCTTTTTGTGTTTTCCCCAAAGAAAAACAGTTACAATAACCTGTTAAGTAGAATTAGAACGTGCAGTTCAAGCAGTTACCACACCTTCGCAATATGCAGTAACCACTCACTTGAAATGTTAAATTTGTCTTCTTATGCTCTAAAATATTAAGGGATAGTTTGCATTCATCTATTTTGTGCTTTTTAGTCAGCCCACCTTTAGTGTCACCGTAAGTCCATCCTTCACAAAGTTTACTTTCCATTACATTAGACCTATAGAGGCAGCCAGCTTATCTTGCTGAGAAAGCAAACAACTTAACTCCAAAATGCAACTGCAAGGGCTTACGTAGTTAAGTCCAAATGCAATACATATTACGCACTCAATATCCAGGATCCATCTCTCTCAATATTCCCTGCAAACATCATTTGGCATTATTTATTAATTTCAGTTAATCGATTATAGCCCCTAAGTCAGCATCACCATAGAAAACTAAAAAAGAGTACAAGACATCAAAATATTAAGGATAATAAAACTATTTCTAAAAGAAATTCAATAATTAACTCTAAGGATATCTTACAGCATAATGCGCAAGTTCAATGTTTTTGGTCTTTTTTTTTTTTTAATAATTCTAAAGCCTTTTACGAGTACAGCAGTACAAAGGGCTCACCCTAGCAAACACAGCCTTCTTTTCAAAACGTCCATATTGCTAAAGTTTTTAACCAGATTCTTTCATCTTTCTTGCCTATTTGTCATCTTAAATTCTCATTTAGTGACCCCTTCACTCTAAGTAACACTACTACTCAAGTTCATTTTCCAACTTCTCCTTCTGTCTCTCCTTATGCTGAAGTCACAATCATCTTTTTATTTTCCTACCACCTTTCTTTTCTGAGCCAGCTAGTCTCATCCACAAGCCCCCTTTCATGGCCTTCTCTTCTATCCCTTCATTCTGTACTGAGAAGTCAGCGTTGCCTCAAATTGACCTCTTCCATTACTCACCTGTTAAGTTTTCAAACTCCTTTATTCTTTTCTCAGGTCTCCTGCTACTACCAGCAGGGCTGCCTCCAGCCCTTTGCAAGACTGTCATCATTATCCTTTAAAACTCCTTTACATCATGATCCCAAAATTGAGCAACGTATGCTAATGCTGAGCCTCCCATGCTGACTAATCTTCCATCTCCTCTGCCTGTGCTTCTCGTAATTCACTCTTTCTGCCTCATATTTAAGGTCTTCCATCTCCTCTGCCTGTGCTTCTCGTAAATATGAGGCAGAAAGAGTGAATTAAGAGTAATTTCTTTCAAGCAGAGGCTGACTTCTCATTCTTGATTTGTTGATGCTCATGCACTGGTATACAATTACAGCCCCTAAAATTCTGTTAGTCTAAGTAAAAAAACGACAGACTTAGCATTTCCATAGTCTACAACTGCACTTAAGAGCAATGCCACCCTGCAGCAAAGGTGGCAAATGGCATCTCAGACTGCATTAGGAGTGCTGCCAGCAGGTGGAGGGACGTGATCCTGCTCCTCTGCTCAGCACTCATGAGGCAACACCTGGACTTCCCAGTGCAAGGGAGACATGGGTATACTGGAGAGAGTCCAACGAAGGGCCATAAAGATGATTAAGGGACTGAACTATCTCTCCTATGAGAAAAGGCTGAGAGCGCTGGGACTGTACAGCCTGGAGAAGAGAAAGCTCAAGAGGATTTTTCTCAATGTGAACATACATCTGAAGGGAAGCTGCAAAGTGGACAGAGCCAGGCCCTTGTCAGTGTTGCCCAGGAAGAGGACCAGAGGCAACAGGCCCACACTGAAACACAGAACTTCCCTCTGAACATCAGAAAACACTTTTTTTACTGTGAGGGTGACCAAGCATTGGCACAAGCTGCCCAGGGACATTGTGGAGTTTACCTCCTTGGAGATATTCAGAAGCTGTCTGGACATGGTCATAGGCAACCAGCTCTAGGTGGCCCTGCATGAGTAGGGGGGGTTAGACCAGGTGACTTCCAGGAGTCTCTTCCAACCTTGACCACTCTGTGATTCTACTCTCTCAGGCCTGTTAACCAAAGATAACTTCTCTTATTTTCATATTTGAGGCATCTATCTTTTACACTTCGTGATAAGCAGAGTCTTGCTGTCTTTTTAACTCATAATCTGTTCCCTGACTGCACCACAAAAGTACATGGCAAAACGCCCATGTACTGCAATGGTAATAGGAACAACAGATTCCTGCGCTAATCCTGGATTTGAGGTTCCCTTATACTAAACACTGAAGGGGGAAGGAAGTAAAAGATAAAATAATTTTTTTTTTTTTAAAGTGCAATATTACATTCTGACTTTTGTACCCATGCAAGAAGCATGAAGAGTTGCTAACAGCTGAGGTGGACCAAACTTGTGTTGTACCCTTCCATGCAGTAGCAGGAGAGGGAAGGTGTATACCATGTACTAAGCTACCACGGATTGTTTCATTCCTGCCTGACAATCTGATTACCCATCTGAACCTCAGATTAAGTAATTAGATAACATACATAATTTTGGGTTAATACAAAAGACATCAACCACGCCCAAGTCTGTTTGAGGTCTACAGTTCAGAAGGCAATAGTAGGGAGGAAAGCATGCTAGTAAAGATACTAGGGTTTTATGTCGGTAATAAATCCATCTCTTCACAGATCCAACTACTCAGTATATCAAGTCACAATATCAAGTCTGCATGTCAAGTGACACGTTTCCACACAGGCAACATTTCCTAATGTAAAAAACAATAATACCAACCTTCCCTGCCTGTTTTACTGACTAAGCAAACATAATCCAGAGTAAACCATCTTTATAAACATAAGCTATCAATACTCTTAGAACAGAAAACATCCAGCGAACAAAAGGCCATACTGTCTGTTGCAATACAAAACACTCCACAGAATCTGCTTGGAAAGTATTCCTATATATAGATCATCACCTAACACTTTATAGCACATTACAAGGATTCTACAGTTTGGGACAGGGCACACGGCATTACTGCACTGCTCTTTTCTGTTTGCTCAAAGCTGTAAGATTTCTACTAACATTCCAGCCTCTGTCTTCTCTGTGTGTTATTCCTAAATGACCTTGGCTCTCATTGTACATGTGGCAACAGACGTCTTTGAAGCACATACTGCTGCATTGCACAAGACTGCCCTAAAATAAATCATGGAGAGTAATAATGCCAGGAACACTGACTTACTCCTAAAAGTGCCAAACAATTCTGAATGCAATCTATTTATCATACAACCTGCTCCTCTCCTCAAACATATGCTGACAACGTCATCTGACGAACAAAATGCTGTCACTGTTCTCACTTTATAGGTGTAACTTGATTCAAACCATATTGTAATCATTACTTACTGTGCTTCATAACTATCCTGTTTATTAGACTTTAAAACAAACAAACAAAAGCAAACCAATAAAAAAAAAGCTAAGTGCCCTGAAATGAAAATTAAACCACTTGTCCAGAAGCCCCCATGTGAAGGTAGAATCTTAACGGTTTTGTTTTCTGGGCTTTTTTCATGTTAGTCTGAACAGCTGAAGTTGACATGGTTTCTTTTCCCACCTCCTATAAAAACGTTTTACTAGGACATTTCATGGAGTAATGCTGAAAGCTGGCTCATACAGCATTACTCACAGCAGCATAATCCATCACAAATAAGAGTGGAATACTCAGCACTCATAGGTTAAAAACCAGAAACCTGGTAAAGAGAAGTATTCGAACATCAAGTACAGGAAGTAGGGAAAAAACAGGAACTTATCTATAAAGTACAGATAGTTATAGGAAAAAAAATGGTACACACTGAATTTTCTTCCTCCTCTTCTAGTTCTCTCTGCTGTTCCTCATGTCGCTTTGCCTTTATCTCCATAGCTTCAGTGATCAGGTCTCTTAAAATTGAAACTGGTTTGGCATTCTTAATAAATGTATGCTAGGGGGAAAAAAGTAATTAAATTATGCAACATCACTACAATAGTTATTATTACAAGTCTTATTCAACACCATAGATGTCAGTGATAAATAGTATTTTACATTATACAATAATTAAAATCTACACTAAGACAACATACAATATCTTTCAGTTGCTTCATAACTAAGATTTTACTTTAACTATTTTTAATAACAGCAAGCCTTGGAAAACGCAATCATATAATAACTGTTTTATACTTAAAGATATAACTGTCCTAAGGAAACATGCAGCAAAGAGTAAATAAATGGAGTGGTGATTTTATGACATAGAAAAATCAAACTTTTTCAGATATTCAGTTACAGAATTTAATTAATCTTAACAAACTGACAGAATACATTAGTGGCTGTAAGCAGAGCAACTATAGCTGTCTACTTCTACAAACCTGTACTTTATATGTCATAAAACGTTTCCTGGTCTATGATGCTATAATGTGGAACAAGTAAAAAAGAAAATGTTACTTTTAGCAGGAAGATTAATTTTTAATTCAAGGTCATTTAAAACATAATTTCTTCCTTTTAGACAACATGTGCATGATACCATTTACATTCATTTTGCTGTCTAGTAAACACCTGCTGCTGCTCTTAGAAAAATTCTGATTTTTGCATCATTATATGCAAATACAATTTAGGCAAAACGTTACCTACAAGCACCTCAGAAATATATTATTAAATATTTAAAAATTTTCCCACAAAGAATAGAATTGATGAAGCCTAGTGTCTTACACTTATTATCTGTCTTCTCCCTTGATAAATTAATTCAATTACTCCCCTTTTTCCTCCACGACCTTTTCCCACAAGCAGTTCTTTCATTCTCACTCACACACACACACACACAGAACCTCCAGCTCCATCACACATGCTTCAAATTCCAGCTGGGGTAAAAGGCAACGCATACGTGTGCTGGACACAGTATTCAGTTTTCCAGCCAGTAAGCACGTGGAAAGAGGAACACTGAAGCTTTTTTTTTTTCTCTGCCTTTTTTTTTTCCCCCTCCTCTTATTTGCATGCATTAATGCAAGCCTTTTCTATCCAGCTGCTGGTCTTCAGCTAACCATACTAACTTCAAACCTTTAAGGTCTCAAGTACTGATTTATACATCATATGAAAATCTGTAAAGTTCAATTTTTACTCTCCTTTCAGTCTACATTTTGGTGTTCTCACAGTGCGGAAAATAATACGACTTATGAATTTGACAATCTATTACTGGAAACAACTTTGTAAAATTGTTACGTTCTCCTTGCAGTGACATTCACCGGAATTAAAATTTTAAAAGAGGCTATTGCCAGCTGAAGACAGAATAAATCTAGCATGAGCGTCTTACAGACAACATTTTGGAAGATCTGATTATGTAGACTGACAAACAAAGAAAATTAAGAATAGTATTTACCAATAGTAGTGAAAAGCATAAAAGAACACTAAATTATCCAAAAGTTTAATGAATCAGGAAAGTAAAAGGAGCAAAGGACTTAGCAAAATTTTTCACTTCTGTCCCATTACCAAAGCAAGCTTATTTACAGGAAATTTTAGATTCCACTTCAACTATCATGGAACCTATTATGATTTTTCTATAATTTTTTTCTCCCACCTCCTCTTTCACTAACTTTGTTCTTTGTTTTTCCTCAGTTACCTGTAGGCTTATTATGACAGCCCTGAAGGCAATGGATAACACAAATACAGGACCAAAGGAGAAAACTTTCTTTGTATTTTCTCTCTTACACGCATTAAAATGCAGGGCCTCTATAAAATTATGTTCATTTCACAAAGACTAAATCTTTCATGATAGATAAGTCCCTCCTGTTTGATTTTTGTAGTTCTTTGAAATGTCTCAGCTTTATTTCTATCTCAGTACCAAAAAGATCCAATTGTTAAATTTCTGCAGCTACTAGAAGCTCAGGCCAGGAAGTGGGCAAAAGCCTGGCACACCCTGCCCTGGCTCCATAGGGTCACACTGTCAACTGTGGCTCAAATTTAAAAGTGTCCACTTGGTATAACTCAGCCCAAGAACAAACTCCTTATACTATCCATCTGCATCAGATCCTTCTAGGACACAAAGCAACCTGTCTGCTTAATTGGACATGACCAGAAGGGCAGATTGAATATACTTCATGGGTGGTCCGTATTGAGGGTAACCTGGGCTCAATTCCTTTACTTAACACTTGCATAAAGCCTGAAATCTATCGAGGGCCTCTAACCACAAAGCAAGGATCCAATTTTAATAGGAATAAACAGCCCTCAACTATGGAAAGAGTAATTCATTTTTAGAAGTGGCAAAGGAGAAATAAAATGGGTGTAGAGATACAGGAAAGACCGCAAAATGGAAAAGACATAAGGCATGACAATAATTAAAATGAGATTTGCTCTCAGAAATTTTCACAACAGTTCTGGCTTGAGACTAGAGGAAAAAAGTCATAAAACTTGCATTTCCTCAGTAACTTAAATACTGACCTGTAGCAGCTGTGTTGCTGTAGCTCTTTGTTCAGGATTTTTCACTAAGCATTTCTTCACAAAATCTGTGAATTCATCAGACCAGAGCTCGGGCTTCCGGAAGGTTGGAGGGGGATTTGTAGGAATCATAAAAATAGCCTAGATAAAAATCAAACAACAGCAGCAAGTTTAAACAAAACACATCACCAGAGCACTGAAGCCAAGTAAACGAATTGCTTTATCCACCTTTCTTATCAGGCTAAGAATCTGGAAAACAAATTTTAAGTAAGCTAGGATTTCCACTCAGATCGAGATCCAGGAAGCAAATCCATCTGCTACTAATGTAGCTACTTCCCATTAGATTTTCTCTGTTTAAACTGTATCCCATTGAGCACATCACTTGTTATTTTATCTATTGCTGTTTATCAGTCTCAAGAGACGATTTTGTTCTTTGGGCAATTCTTAATAGAAACGATGGCATGGCTTGTTTAAACACACAAGTATAAAGTTGCTGTGAAAAGTCAAGTTCACCTTCTTTTCACTTACCTGCATTTAGTTTTATAGGAGAATTTCTTAGGAAATTAGGATTACTATTTCCTTTTGCGTTCATAATTCTGCAGATGTAGTTTTAAAACTTGCTAATAAGATTCAGAAATGTATGCTAAAAGACCGAAGAGAACACTAAAAGGTGACAAAAATAAATAATCAAGTAACTTGTCTACTAGCAGTGAGAATTTACTTGAAATAGTAAAGGCAGCATTTTACCTATATAACAGAAAGTTCACACTGTTGAGAACCATATGCAGACAGATTTTTCAACTGGGAAAAAAGATTCATACTATATTAAAAACACGTTTGTCTTACTTAAGATTATACATATTGTAGCATTTTCTTTATGATTTTTTCTAGGTTTTCTTCTAATTATAGATTTACACTTGTAGGGGAAAAAAAAGCATTACAATTCTGAGAGACTATTGTAAAATAATTGGAAATTCTGAACTTCTGTGTGTAATCTCTCAAATGGATTCAGTACCATTGCTTAAGACTTACATGACAGCAACACACTATTCAGAATCAGGTCTACTGACAGAAATAATAAGCTATTATTTTCTTCTAAAACCAGGTTCAATTCAACCATATTTTCCAAAGCAAAAAGGAGTAAAAGTTCTTCATTTGATTTTCTACAAGCATAGGCAGAAAAATGTACTTAGAAGAGGGGAAAAAAAAAATGAAACGAGAGATTATGCACACTGTTAGCATAGCAGAGGCACCAGAAGGTTCAGCCCATGTTTGAAACACAGGGAGAAGGGAGAGGGAATTTCCTGAAATTTTATCTGTAACTTCTTAAGAAGTCTGATTGGCCTTGAAAGTTGGTTTAACTTGTTCAAACCCTCATTCTAAAATACTTCTCATATGCTGAAGAAAAGCAGAACCCATGCAAAATGAGGCAAAAGCTGTTTACTATAATTTTACTGAAAAATTATTTCAGTACTGAATAGTATACTTTAATTCAAATACTTAAACATTTAGAAAACTCAATTCATTATCTGTCTAATACAAGAATTAAAAGTAGAGACTCAGATATTTTGTTTAATAAAGATGTATACTACAATAGCTTTATATTTTCAGTGGGCAGCCGTGCCAAACTAGTATATGAACTCAGACAGGAAACATGGCACTCTATTACCCTGTAATTGGCCTTTACCTACTTCACTTGTGATACAAGATTAATTGCCAGTACAAGTGAAGTGCTTCTGGTATAAAGCAGTGGCTAACAAATTCAGCTGTTTCTGTCCTTGAAAGCAATGATCTCTTTTGAACTTTGAACTGATGACTTTTAATCTTATCTTTAGCTACTCTTAACAGCTAGCTCTGCAGTAGCTATTGGAAACACATGGCTGTAACAGAAGACCAGTAACTTCTGTTTATGCAGCGTCAAAACACAAACCTTCTGTTTGATAATAAACATTGACCTGTCTCTCCGCAGGTAAGTAAAGCTTAGTTTCAGAGTCCTACTCAGCTCTACGCTCTGGGGAAAATATTTGCCTTTGCCAATTATTTTCGTCAACTACACAGCAGTTAAGAACCACAGCAAAGAAGTGACTTCTTTATAATTCACAAAGGACAATGAGAAGAAAGAGAGAATTCATGAATCATTCTTTTATGGCAGGTAATAAAAGTCACAAAAGGAGATATTCAGGAGCTAGAGTTAGGGTCCTAAATCCACATTTACGCTTTGTATGTTTGTTGAAAAATATCTACTTCAGAAACATGCATGTTTACTTAATGCTTACACTGCAGGCTTTTTTAAATCTTGATATGTGACGTGAGCTATGTTAGCTGAAAAAAAAAAATAAGATGCATTTTTGTAATACAAGAAAACATATAAAAATTAATTATTCCCAAAGTTTAGTCCAACTTATTAACTATGCCACGCACTTGCTAGCATGTACCTCTCCCCTCCTGCTCTCAGCACTCCCTTTCGTTAACTAGCCTGAAAGGCTGGTTTTCAATTTCATTCTCCCCCTCTACTTCCTCGTTTTGGCTTGCATATTTCTCTGCACAAAAGTTAAGCTCCCTGTCTCTTTCAAAACTCTCTATGATTTAGCTTCCAACTACTTCTATTTCCTTCCAAGAAGCTTGCAAAGCAGTCACTGGAGAATTATAAAACTAGTCTCAAATCTCCAGGAATAAAACCAAAATGCTTATCTGACAGGAACTTATTCCTCTTTTTTTGCTTCTATTTCTTGTCAAATAGATCTTTTCTATCCTAAACGAACTCTGTCCTATTTTAAAACAAAACTAAGCTGTTTCAGTCACTCTGTTCCATAGGTGCCAAGGGAAGCAGGAAACCTAGGGTTTTAATACTTCTTTCATCTTGCCCTGCATTTCTCCACTCCCTGTGTTCTCCCAAACTATTACCTGTACTAATTTTTTGCTTCCACTCCACTTACAATTTTCTCTAAAAGTTTCCCACAGCTATTGGGATTAGTTCAGCTCTCACAGTAGGGCTGATGGCAATGCTCATACAGCCAGCATTAGGTAACTGTCGCTTAAAAGAAAAGCCAAATCAAAATAACAGCACCAGCTAGCACTGAACATAAGCTACTATCCACCTAATTACACGGGCTGAACTGGCAGCAACAACTGCAGGAAACATTAGGAGGAAATTGTTCAACAGACGGGGCAGGTTCTGACATGCTACGAAAGCACTGGGGCTAATTTTTCTCTCTCACCTTCAACATCACCTTCCAGGTTTCCCCACATATCTGAGACAGACTGGCAAGTCTTACACTTACTGCAAGTAATGCATCAAATATACAGCCAAGGTGTTAGATGGCACAACTCAGTCTTCAGCTTTAACCGTTGAATCCTTTCAAAACAATCTCTAAGCTGCAAGATGTCAGAACTCAGGCTGAGGTGTTTGTCTTCACCTGTCTGTAACAGACAGCCCATTTCAAATTTGTCCTGAACTGGCCTTTCCACCTCTGAACCTTGAGCCCAACTCCCTACTTTGAATCATCTTCCATACATTTCTCTGAGGCAAGTCCTACACCCTGCACTGAAACCAGAATCCAAGGCAAATTACAGCATATACATGACAAAGGATGGGGAGAGTGGGATGTGGGGAGATACATCATCCAGGACAGCTTTCAGTAGCCACTTCTCAGTTGGGCACTGGACAATTTAACACAGTTTCTACCATAACTGTGGCCTGGAAGGACTTACCTGCCTGATGACCAGCAGTTGTGGTTAAGCTGAATACTGGACTGAGGACCATGTTTTAAATGAGGACCATGTTTTAAATGAGAGCTGAACTGTGCAAGTCAGTACATGATTTTCTTTTTATTAGTCTTAAATGGCCTAGCATTTTAAAAGGAGTCCAGGTTGAAAACATATTTTCAGTGAAAGTTCTCTTATGGACAGTTTTATTGGCATGAAAATGTAATCAGATGAATTAGGAAACGCCAAAAGAAAAATGAGATACTGATATACTGCATTTGGAATTTCCTAATCAGAAAATCCTTGCGGCTCATTCCTCCTGTCAGTCAGGGTAATACATCTGTATTTCACACAGCCCACAAACACATTAAATGACCAACAGTAATTTGGGAGAGGTACTATGTGTTTTGTGGTTTAGCTCCTTGAATAACTTATCTCTACTGCTTAGTTCAAATAAGTGACATGTAATAAATAGCAGGAAATCAAAATAATAACTTTTACTGTTATTGTTTGCCCGGTATCATGAATGCTACTGCAGGAGATAGTAAAGATTTTTATAATTTCCATGCTGTGAAGCTCCATTGCTAGAACCTACAGAGAGAAACAATTTAGAAAGAGGGTAAGGATACAAGACATTCACAAGCAGTTTGTGACTCCATAGTTTTGGCACCACAGCTATATTACTTAGTTTATCATTACATTTAAACTCAGTAACACATTTTAGAGTATGAAATTCTTTTTTTTTTGGGGGGGAGGGGGTGTTAATACTGAATACTGTAACGTGTTATTAGCTTTAGAAACAAAGAATCAGCTGAAAGACACATTTTTCTCTTCTTTGTGATAGATGTCACTGAACTTCCTTCCCTTCTTGAATAGCCTTCGAAAAGCCTATTGAAACACCACTAATTATTCAATTACACAATTCAACAGCTGTCTAGAAATAAAACACCAGCATGGACAAGGAGGGTGAGTTACTAGCAGGTTCTACATGGGTTTTGTTTTGTTGAGCTTTTTTAAAAAAAAAAAATTAGAACTACAATATTGTTACCACAAAGTTTTTTGCAAAACTCTGTAACAGTTAAAAATAAAGTTACTGAGCAACACTTCATGTGTTTAAAGACAAGAAGTTCATTTATGATCTGCTTCAGTGTGAACAACAAATTCAGTTGTTAGAAGCACCCTAAAAATCACCAGCTTTCTCCTCCCATCTGCAAACACAGTAGTTGGTGAAGATCTAGTGCACTCACACTTTTTGCACAGAATTACAAACAGCTCTGGTTCCATCAGACATCTATCAGATATCTGATCCAAGGCAATTCTCAATATCTCCTGAGTTTGATAAAACCCCTAACTGGAATCTGAATGTGCAATTCAAAATGTTTGAAAAGCTTGATTATCTTTCTGTGCAAATATTACTCCTGTTAAAGCAGACAACA